TGAAGGGTTTATTTTGTAATAATGAAGGTTTTGTTTAATTTATTGTAAAATTAAGGAGGATAGGGAAGTGATTGATGTATTATGTGGAAGGAAGAACTTTAATGTAAAATCATACTGCATCAAAGATTTTGGTTTGTTTTTTATTTGATTTTCAGTCTAAGTTTGTTGTTAAATTTTCATTAATTTAGATTTATTATTAACTTTGTTGTTAATTTTCCATTAATTTTCCTTAATTATTAATTTTGTGTGATTAATTATTATTTTGGATATTAAAAGATTAATCACTTTATAGAATAATGAATGATTAAAGACAAAGATTTAGGTTAGTTGTTGATAGGGAGGAGCAATATCATCATCGTCCCACTACAACTTTGTCAAATACCCAAATTCATTAACATATCATTAAGGACAATATTACACTTACAACCTAATCTCACAAATTTTCTCTCACAAGTTCGACGTGGCAGGTCGCAATTGGTCAGCCTGAAATAAATCTCACATGTCTAATTGCGAGCTGTCACGTCGGGGTTGTAAGTGAAAGTTTATAAGATTGGGTTGCGAGCCAATCTTTATTGTACCATTAATGGATGGTACAACGGTGGTGATCTTTTAAAGCAAGACTACCAATTTGTAAATTCACTAAACCTACAATGAGAATATGTATTTCGGCTCCAAAGAAGTTTTACTAATGGATTTCTTATAGTTTAGTCTTAGGGATGTAAAAACCCCAAGCCCAAGTCGAACTCACCTAGGCTCGGCCCAAGTTTTTAAAAATCCAAGCCCGGGCCAAGGAAAAAGTTGGCGTTTTATAAACCCGGGCCAAGGTTACCTAAGCTCGAGCCAAACACATGCAAGCTTTAGGCCCGAGTTTGGTTATATGAATAAACGGTTTTGTGTAATTTGTTATAAGTGAGGCCTAGAATAATTTTATAGGGGTTTATTGGAACTTTTATATTAAAGAAGGTTGTTGAATGATTTATGAGGGCTTTATAAACTTTTTTAGGAGTTTTATGTAATTTTATATAAGGGGATATGATAATTTCACAATTCTTGTGTAATTTTATAGAAGGGGCTTTACTAGCCGAACCCGAGCCCGGCCTGGGATTTATATATACCGGGGCGGGCCAGGCTGGTTCTTTTTAACATCCCATCCCTAATTAGTCTAGACGCAAAATCTTTGTAATATTATAGAAAAGAATTAACTCATAGTATTGATAAATTTATATAATATAATGTAAGACTAGTTACACAAAAAAGCTATCAGAATTACTGATAATCAGTTTATAAATAATAAATATACATGGTAGCCTAAAACATCAACGGTTAACATTAGATAAAGTTAGATGAAATGATGGAATAGAAATTAATATAAGCATTTCATATTTGAATGAGATATTTTAATTTAAATTAATGACTTAAAACATCTAATCCTCTATTTTCATCAATCTAACGGTTAGGATAACTGCTAATATGGCATTAAAACTTAATTTAAAGTCCGAGATGGCATTAAAATTAATTTAAAAAAGATTATCTAGGATGTTAAAACTTAAAACACTTTGCTCTTGATTTACTATTCTCTACAACAAGGACTCCATCGCAGTAATGGAAACTCTATCTCCATTACAATTGCTGCAAGTTTCTAATCAAAGTTACAAACTCGTTTCTATCAGCGTTGATTACTCAAATTTAAGTTCTTTATTTTTTTTAATTTATTTTTATTTTGAATCCTTTAATCGTATAGTCTTTGATAATTTTGCAATTGTTTGAGGCAATAAGTGGGGAAGATAATTTTACAATTGTTTTTCCTAAAATCTAATGTTAACTGATATCATTACAAACCCATTCCACAAATTTTACTTTTAACTACAAATTGATGAAATATTTTAGAAAATAGAGACGATACCAGGAGATAAACGAAATGGTAAAAATTAATTGACGGATGGAGGCAATAAGTGGGAAAGAGATTTGGATTGATCTGTAGCTTTGATTCAGACTGATAGATATAATTTGTAGCTTTGATTAGAAACTTGTGGCAAATGTAATGGAATTATGGAGTTCTTGTAAAGAAGAGGAAATTTAAGAGTCGGTGTTTTGAGTTCCAACATGCCAAATCGTTTTAAATTAATTTTAATGTCACCTCAGATTTCAAGTTAAGTTTTAATGTCATCTCAATAGTTATCCTAATCATTGGAAGGATGAAAATAGAGGGTTAGATGTTGTAGTATAAAAGATCCTGCCACTTTCATATTACCAGTTTAACATAAAATTATGCGCGCATTGTTTTTTTCGAAAAACAACTAAGGATTTTAAATTGGAAACAAAAGAAAAATGTATATAAGGATAAATTTTAACAAAACAAAAATATTCTTTTAAGCAATGATAAATATTTAGGTCATTAATCCCACTATTTCCAATATTCAAAAGAGTTAGAAAGAGAGCTAGAACAACTATCCAATTAAGCAAACAATAACTATTGTTCGTCAATATCTTTAGTTTTGGTAGTAATGCTACACATATAAACTAATCCTTACAAATTGATGTGATAATTTTACATATTTAAATATCATTTACTTAGTTTGCTTAATTTATCTTGAATTTTAAGTCATTCAATCATATTATAATATGACAATTTGTATGAATAAGTTTGTATAAGATGTTTATACATGTAAAATTATTTTAACAATAAAGATAAAGCAAACAAAAAAAAACAAAAAAAATAAGGGTAGGCCTACGTCGTCTTTCATGGAATTTGAAAAAAAAATGATATCCTTTAACACCCTTATTAATTTTTACCATTCTCAAAATTTTAAATTACTCAGCCTATAAATAAGTCCAAAAATAAAAGATGTTAGCCTCATTTCACTTGACATTTGTTCTATTTACCCAATTATTGGACTAAAGAAGTCTCACTTTTAATAATTTTTTGTTTAAAAATGTATTCTAATATTAAATTTTTAAACTTATTTTCACTTCTATATTATTTATAAATACTTTTGACACCCCACTTTTTATGTCATAAACTCTAATTAAAATAATTATAAAAACTAAAAGAGAGTTTAATGGAGAAATTTTTTTGAAAATGGAGTATATGATGTTACAAGCAATATAACATTGTAATCTTTTAATTTCTTCTCATTTATTTTAAAATTCAGTTAATTCTTTTTTGTTAGCACATATAAATATTTTTCCTTCAAATTAATGGTAATTATTCTAATATCAATAGTGTTTGTTTTGTTAATTTAGTTATATTATGTCAATAGTTTAATTTTTTTAACTTTCTATTTGAATATCTAAAATTGCAGTTTAGGAATAATAATAGTGGGGCATATAGTACCAGTGAAAACAATTAAATGTCTACTCTTTCAAAAGAAAAAAGAAAAATAAAATGGCGGGTATTTATGGATTTCATGAGGTGCCATAAAAAAAAATAATAAAATAAAAGTAAAGAAAAAACACTTTTAAATTGGGCATATTTAGAAGTCAGGCTTCTTTAATTTTGAAATATGGGCTAATAAAACCACTTTCTTCATAAATTTGACTTAAAAGGATCATGAAGCCTATGATTTTTCCAAATCTTACTAAATTAGGCTTTAATTCTAAAAAAATAAAGAATAAAACCAAGGTAGTGAACATTGCACGTAAAGAATAAAGTGTATAAATAAGTTCAGTTGGGCTCTTACCCGACCAACAATTCTATGAGTCAGAAGATTAATTAAAGTACGTACAAACTGGTTAAAAGACACTAAGTGATAAAAAAAAGAGCAAACGACATGTTCCCACCCTAGGTTTAGCCAAATCCTAAATTCATACCCCTAGTTCTATTTATTCCATATTCCCACCCTTAAACTAACACTGTAAGTTAATTTTAAATTTTGATTTGTGCAATTACCATTCTGCCCTTCGTTCTTATTTCACCCCACCCAACCACCATCACCCTCACCATCCAGCCACCACCACCACCCACCAAACCCGATCACCGTTCAGGCCCAATTTGGCCTAATTCCAACGCCGATTGACCAACCCAACACCACCATCAGGATCCTCTCATCTCCCTCTCGAAAACCCCTCTCATCTCTAACTGTTTGCTGCCACCGTTCGTCGACCACTGCGCCCAATTTGTTCGCATGCTGCAAGCAAAATTCTGACGGTTTTTCGACTCCAAAATCCCACCACTCACCACCATTAACCTCTTCACTTCCTCTTGAACAAAACCCCTACCAACATTGACCACCGTTGCTTCCCAATCACCGGCCACCACCCGTTGCAATTCACGACTAAACCACCAAGCCAACCCGAAATCAATCCAACCCAAAAAACAACAAAAAAACTTCGAAAACAAGCATAATCAATCTCCAAATCAATCACACACCCACAAACTCCTTGTAAAATCTTGAATCAACCTCTAATTAAATCTAATTTTCACCAAAATCGCAAAACCCTAAGGGGAGTGACGAACGGCGAATGATGGGCAACCACGATTGGATCTGTTTGGGGCTTTTTGAGGTGGGATGTTGGTGAAGCTATTGGTGGTAATGGGGTTGATTTCCAGCACCGAGAGAGACAGGAATTTTGCTTGCAGCATGCGAACTAATTGGGCGCGATGGTCGATGAACGGTGGCAGCAAACAGTTAGAGATCGAGAGGGAGATGAGAGGATCCTGATGGTGATGTTGGGTTGGTCAATTGGCGTCGGAATCAGGCCAAATTGGGCCTAAATGGCGATCGGGTTTGGTGGGTGGTGGTGGTGGCTGGATGGTGAGGGTGATGGTGGTTGGGTGGGGTGAAATAAAAACGAATGGCAGAATGGTAATTGCACAAATCAAAATTTAAAATTAACTTACAGTGTTAGTTTAAGGGTGGGAATATGGAATAAATAGAACCACGGGTATGAACTTGGGATTTGGCTAAACCTTGGGTGGGGACATGTCGTTTGCTCTAAAAAAAAAAGTTTAACTGTGAAAAAAAAGATTTGAAACTAAAAATGATAAAACATGTATCCATTAGTTTATTTATTGGTGACATTAGTATTTATTAAAGTAGTTACCACTATTATTTTATAAATAACATTTTTGAGCAATAAACATTGTGAATGATCAACTGCTCCAACAACATTTTCTCACAAATTCATTGACATTATGTATTGATTTAACCTTCATTACATTCATCATGAATTTGGTCAACTCAATTCACAGCTATGCTTCTGGTAGCGGCTCTCCTGATAGAAATCCCTTAAACAGGACAAGTGACCTCTCTGGCTGTGTAAATGGAACTCCGTGCCCAGCTCCTCTAACGGTGGCAAAAGATAAAAAGTCTCCGTAAACTTGTGTCCAACCAGCTATCTGTGAAACACCAAGTTATTTGCTAATGGCCAAGTAGTTCGATTGAGTGTTTAATATGAATATGACTAACCTGTTTTCCTTCAAACCAGGGTCTGTAAGGCACTGTTATTTTCAGTCCCACTTCTCTTGCCAATTCATATACTAATTTCCTGGTTCCAATTAGTGGGATAACTGAATCTTGGTCCCCGCTGAAGAAATTGAAGGCTTTATATTACTATCACAACAATGATTGTGACTATAGAAAGATTTGACAAAATTTACATTTATGAAAATGGACTCTTGTGGCACCTGTAAACCAAGACCCTGATGCCAGATTTGGCTAGCATGCCTAGAAGATGGATGGTGGGTACTTCCAGATTTTGCAACTCATAGTTGATGACACTGTTAAAAAGAGGCAAAAAAATTTAGTATCAGCCACCTAAATATGAGAAAGTGGGATGTAGTCATTTGCTCGTGCTGTCAAAGTTTAGGAAATAAACAAATAAGTTGTATATAAGCCCTTACTCGCTACAGATATTCCATCTTGAGACTCCAATAAGCTTAGCATTGAGAGCCACCTGCACATCTTTTCGGTTCAGGTATTTAGTTATTTCGTCTTCCTCACAGACATCTATGTTCCATTTGTCATGCTGCAAATACTAATTATCAATAAATACTAGAAACAGAGGAAAACAGTCTCAAAATACTAGAGTGAGCTCAAGATTCACCAGTTTATTCAGCATCTTAGATTGAGAAACAATGGAGGGTAAGCAAACATCAAGAGTAACATCGTAAATGTCAATAAATTTGGTAACTTCTCTTGAATATTCCGTCGCTACTTTAGAGCAAACAGGAGAAAGTGGAACATTTTGAATGCTTTGGCTTCTAAAAATCTGAGAAAAGTTACACAGTGAGGTGAAAGCTTCATAGGTTGAATCTGATATCAGTCCATGAGACCACCAGTATTCAGCTCTCGAGTTAAAATCAGTGTTGAATTCAAGCAGAGGATTTCCTATCTGCAACAACAATGTTTGAGCATATTTTTCACTAAAAATTACTCATATTAAAAAAAAATGTAGCAACAAAGTTTATGCTACTTGTTTTTCTTTTATTTCTTTCTCCTCACTTACTGCTATTCCCTTGAGATTGAACCTCATGTTGGATTGAAGTATGAGTTGTGCTAGTTGTGGGACATAGTGGCCTGGAAAGAAGTGGAAGTATCTGAAACCTTTCCCTCTGATTCAATGGAGTCAATCAGTTAAAGACTTACCTGCATAGCTCCCCCCTGTGATAAAAAAAATCTCTTTTTTTGTATTCGGGGAATATGGTGAACCAGCTCTTCAGGAATGCTAGATTATCTCGAGCTTAAAGTGAATTTTCTCAGTGTCAATATAAGATGCAATACTGGTATCATATATTCAATTGTTTATAAAATAAATAAATAAAACAAAACACCTGTGATCTCGTCATTCACAGAATTGTAGAAAGATTTATTAGCATGGTAGGAGAAACCAACTCCTGCAGGTGACTCCAGGTACAACATATTTGCTTCTGTACAAAAAAGAGAAGTATTTCATATAAGCAAACTAAAGAGAGAAACTACAAAGTTAAATGTTGAGTTCTTTGTTTACCTTTGTTCCAGCTATATTCATTTCTGATCAATATGTCTCCACTTGGTCTGAAAGGACCATTCTCCATTAAAGCTCCACTTCCAATGGAAGAACAACCAGGCCCTACAAAATCCCAGAAATTATTGATTTAACCCATGCAGTTAAAACTGTTTCTTTTGTGATGCAGAATCAATAATGGAAATTTACCTCCAGTTAACCAAAGAACAAGTGGTTTTGAAGCCACTTTCGTTTCCGCTTCAACGAAGTAGTAAAAGAGAGCTTTTTGTTGCTTCTCATCAATGGTTACATGTCCTGCATACTGATGGAAACTGACATGTGGTTGGCCCGGTAAATTGATGATTTTATGAGCTTCAGGGACAGATTTTGTTGTTAAAAACGACTGGAACAGAGTTGCACAGATTGTAGTGATGATTATCCATGACTCAATTCTCATCATGTTTTATTAGTCTGTAAGTGAAACTGCAGTTACTTTGGCAAATTTATAAAAGCCTGTGGTACCTAATCCTTATTTAAATACAAGGACTAGCACTAGGTTTTGCAGAAACTAAGAATGGAATTATAGCGTTGACTTGAAGCCAACCTTTTCTTCAAGATATTTTACAGTAAAAAAACACATAATATTATTAATATATGATTTCGGGTGCCATGTCCTATTCCTATCATTTTCAAAATACACATTTATTTTTCTATTCTAAAAAATACTTTATCTTTTATTCAACTTTTTTAAATTCCTTAAATTTATTAATTTAACTAAATACTTCCAAAAAAAAATTTTAAAATTAACAAAAATACTCTCATCCATCCACATTTGCCAGATTCTGGCTACCTCCACCGAAAGGTGGTCAAAATCTGATATAATAGCACACTACCAACTAGATCTGACCGGTATTACATCGATATAGACTTTTTCAACTAGATCCACTATGAATCTTGCATTTTCGACCAAAGATCTGGTCATTGACAGCTAGATCTTTGGCCGTAACTAGTCGTCAATAACGACGTTAACCATCAACGACAACCATATCTCTGGCCATCTTTGATGACCAAACGCAGCTATCTCGGTGCATGATCGGCCAGATCCAACTGGTCGTACGTTGATACGACGACTCTGGCCACCCTCTGATGGTGGTGGCTGGCTGTCAGTATTTAATGGGTTGAGTGGGGGTATTTTTATATCTTTAATATTTTTATTACAGGGTGTTTAATAAATTAACAAACATAAGGAGTGTTTTTGTCAATTTTTAAATCTTATCTCATTATTACCACCCAACTTTTGTTTTTTCAAAAATACTATCCAAAATACTAAAACAAACACATCCAAAATACTAAAATGTTTTGTATTTTGAAAATTGAAATTATTTTTAATTACAAAAGGTTTATTGTTAAGTAGTTTTTAGTAATGTCATTTTTCTAAATGTCTCCAACCTTCAGTTTTTAGCCATTTTATTCAAGAAAAAAATAACTTCTACAAAGGTTTAACAATTGAGAAAAAGTTTTGGCTCAAGCTCACAGTTATGTCTGATGTGTTACGTTATGGAATAATTGACCGTGTTACCTAGGTTAAAAGTAACAAATGATTGTCCAGCTAGAATTAAGTAAACAAAAATGAAATAAAATGACTGGTCGAGTCACTGGGATACAAATGACATATAATGATTGTATATGGTTGTTGGAGTTATCAACTACTTAAGTATTAATGGACCTTGAGCACGTAAGTGGTTTAGGTTTTTTTCATATATAACTACGAAAAAAATTCTTTAAGTTATTAATTACTTACTAGGTTTAGATTTAGGAATAAGAATCCTTGTAATCTTAAGTTTTAGTCTTTTAAATCTAATATATATAAACACATTTTTCTCTTGTAATGAATGATAGCAATCATAAGACAAATTCATTCATAGTAAACCAGAGAAGTGAGACAGTATTACAATAATATGGACTCAATTAGACGTAACCTGTTAATTAGATGAATCAGATAAAATCGCGCATACTTCTTCTTTCTTTTACTGTTTATAATTTGTGTGTTTGTTCTCTATTTCGTTCAATGGCCAAATCAGTAGGGGTACGAGTGACACTATGTGATAAGAATCACTTCGGATTTTAAGAAGAAAAAAATGTTTGAAGGAAATGATGATTTGAATTCTATGGCTTTGGCTATATATATGTTGTTTATGAAAGGCTGTTGTTTATTAATAATTGATGCTTCAGCTGAAAGGTGAATTTTATTAATTTTATGTTTATGTTCAAAAATTTAAAGGTTATATTCATGTTAAATTACTAAAAATACATTTTATGTACAATTTTACTTAGTTGAAAATTTACTCCTCTCCATTAGCATTTTTGTGGAGTAGTTTCAAAATTAGTTTGGGGGAGAATAATAGTGTTTGAATTTTTGAGGTTTTTTTTTTTTTTAAAACACTCAAAAGATAATATCCTGAAGATTGAGGGAAATACTTCCAGCAATCAATAGCTGTTACTTCCTCAGACCAAGAACTGAAACAACTACCTAGTTAAGAGAATGGTTATCTCTTCCAGTGGTCACAATTTTTGCTTCAGAAGGTAACAAAAATGAAAATGACAATATGTTTTTCTTACAACAATTACTGGCATTAATTATAATCTCACCATTGATTATTCATGAATTTGGTCACTAGACCTTTATGCTTCTTCTGGCAGTGGGTTTCCTGCCAGAAATCCGTTAAACAGAACAAGTGACCTCTCAGGCTGTGAAAATGGAGCTTCATGAGATGCTCCTCTAATTGTAGCAAACGATAAGATATCGCCGTATACTTGTGTCCATCCAGCAACCTGGATAAAAGTAGGCCAAAAAAAATTGTTGGATGTTGGTTTCAACTTTGAGTATTTAACAGTGTGATTCATGTTGAATCATATGGTTGTGCAAATTGACTAACCTGTCTTCCCTCAAACCAAGCTCTATAAGGCACAGTTGTTTTCAGTCCCAACTCCTTTGCCAATTCATTCACTAATTTCCGTGTTCCGATTAATGGGATAACTGAATCCTGATCCCCACTGAAGAAATTTAAAGTGTGATGTTACTACCACAAGGATCTTACATATATATATAGTGTCGGAAATATAAATTATGGAAAAATTTATGAAAATTGTTCTTGCTGCACCTGTAAACCAAGACCCTGATGCCAGATTTGGCAAGTGTTCCCAGAATATGAATGGTAGGTACTTCTAGGTTTTGCACATCATATTTGATCACACTGTTGATAAGAGACACAAGTTGAAATATAAGAGTAAATCTAAATCAGTAAAAAAACTAATTGATCATCTTTGCTTTCCTGCAGCACATATAGTCTGGAAATTTTAAATGACATCATGAACAAGTCCTGAAATTATAAAATGTGTTTGCATAAAAAAAACAATGCAGTATACAATTACTAAGCCTACCATCCTAAGTCACTGCAATATTGATGTGACTAAATATTTGCAATGCTATTTACTTAAATAAACCTTACTCGCTACAAAATGTCCATTCGGAACTCCAACAAGCTGAGCACGCAAAGCTGCCTGTACATCTTTTCGGTTCAAGTATTTATCTGTTTCATCTTCCACAAACATCTAATTTTTCTGCTTGCAGCTGTAATTTAGAATTCATATTGTTACCCCAAACATCAATAAGTATTTAAGCAGAGTTTCAAAAGATATTGATAGTTGTGGAATAAAAAGAAATGTAAACTAGAGTGAGTTCAAGATTCACCAGTTTATTCAGAAGCGAGACTGTGCAAAAATGGCGATAAACAACATCGATAGTAATATCGTAAGCATTAATGATCTGCTGACTTCTCTTGAAATTCTCTTATAACTTCAGAACAAACAGTGGTAAGAGTTCCACTTTGCATCTCTCTACTAATTTGAGAATAGTTACACATGAAGTGAACATTTCAAAAGTAATCTGATATCAGTCATGAGACCAAATGTACACAGCCCTTGAGTTGAAATCAGTATCAAATCCAAAAGGGGATTCCCTATCTGCAAAAACAAATGTTTGAGCTTATTTTCTAATCAAATTAATGCAAATAAATAATTTATCTTCTTTCAAAACTTTTCTCTTCACTTACTGCTATTCCCTTGAAATTGGACTTCAGTGTGGATTGAATTACGAGTCGTGCTAGTTGTGGGACGTAGTGGCCTAATAAGAAAACGAAGTATCTGAAACTTTCCTTCTAACTAAACTTTTATAGTCAATTCAGTAACAAAAGAAAAAAAAAATGTACTAAATGCGTTCAAATTACCGGCATAACTCTCCCCAGTGATGAAAAAATCTTATTTTCTGTACTCTGGGAATTTCTTGAACCAATTTTCCAGGAAGGCAAGATTATCTCGTGCTTAAAAATAATTGTTAAATTGTAATGCTATCAGGGCAAAATATCACAGAAACAAAAGAAAATTTTCAAATTCTGTGTATGGATTGAACAAAACAAAATGTTTAAAAGAAAGAGAAACCTGTGATCTCATCGTTGATAAATGAGTAGAAAGATTTATTTCCTGAATAGGAGAAGCCAACCCCGGCAGGTGATTCCAGGTATAACATATTTGCTCCTGAACAAAAAAGAGGAACTCATATAAGTAAATTAAGTTAAACTACTCCACTCTGTGTTTAAAGTTTAAATGTTTAGCACCTTTGTTCCAGCTATATTCATTTTTGAGAAACACGTCTCCACTTGGCCTAAAAGGACCATGCTCCACGAAAGCTCCAGCTCCAATGGAAGAACAACCAGGCCCTACAAAACCCAGAATTTTTTTATTTAAGCCATTTAGTTAAAATTGTTCCCTTTGTGATGCAGAATCATCAATGGAAATTTACCTCCATTTAACCAAAGAGCAAGTGGCTTTGAAGCTGGGTCTGTTTCTGCTTCAACAAAGTAGTAAAAAAGAGCTCTCTTTTGCTTCTCATCTATGGTTATGTATCCTGAATATTGCTGAAAAGTGACCTGAGGTTGACCAGGCAAACTGGTGATTTTATCAGCCCCAGGGCCGGCTTTTGTTGTCAAAAAAAGAGTTGCACAGATTGAGAAGATGAGTATCCATTGCAGAGGCCGCATTATGATATGCAGCTTGAGTTTAGGGGTTCTTGAGGAGATTTCAATGAAAATTTTAGAAGGTATGGCTTTTGTTAATACAAAATGTGATTATAAAATGGTTGTTGTGCATTATCCATACGGCACTCGTGAGTCAATCATTGCCATTTTGATCTTTGAATATGATTTCCAATGGGCCCAGAAATAGAGAGAGAAAATTTACAGTCTCACAGTAACAGATAACAAATGATTCTTTTCAAGTTCTCAATGCAGCATGGTGACTTGAGATTAAGGTGTAAACTGAGCTTTGATTATCAATTTGATTCACTACATGCCAAGCTTCTGAATATTAAATAATCTTGAAGAATGTACTTAGAAATTTAGCTACATACTTTACAGCTAAGTAGCAACTTTCTTTTTGTTTTAAAATGTCTTTAT